GGGAACGGGGGATGGGGGGGGGCACGAGTCTCCCCCCCCCCAAGGTACCCCCCCCGGGCAGCCCCCCCAGCCCCTACCTTGGCCTCGCATTTCTTGTGGCTGGCGACCTTGCACACTGCGGGGGGGACACGGAAGGGTGTCACACACTGTCCCCAAGGCAACGCCCCCCAAAGCCCCCCTCCCGGCACCCCCCGTGTCCCCAGGGTCACCTCTGCAGAGCAGCCCCTGCCCCTCGAGGGGCTCCGCGCAGGCGCCGCAGACCCTCCTCCTCCTGAAGCCCTTCTCTCGGAAGCGGTGCGGGGGGGCGCGCGCCGCCTGCGGGGGGGGCGCGTGGGCACCGGCACCCCCGCGTGCAGGACGCGCGGGGACGCGCGGGGACACGGGGGACACGGGGGACACGGGGGACACGGGGGACACGAGGGGACATGGGGGACATGAGGGGATATGGGTGGACACAGGGGAACATTGGAGACACACAGGGACACGGGGGACACGAGGGGACATGGGGGACACGAGGGGACATGGGTGGACACAGGGGAACACGGGGGACACGGGGGACACTGGGGACACGGGGGACACGGGGGACACGAGGGGACATGGGGGGACACAGGGGAACATTGGAGACACACAGGGACACAGGGGACACGAGGGGACATGGGTGGACACAGGGGAACACGGGGGACACTGGGGACACGGGGGACACGAGGGGACAAGGGTGGACACAGGGGAACACTGGGGACACACAGGGACACGGGGGGATGCGTGGGGACACGTGGGGACAAGAGGGACACGCAGGGACACGCGGGGACATGGGGGACACACGGGGACATGCGGGGACATGGAGGTACACAGGGGGACACTGGGGACACACAGGGACACGGGGGTACACGTGGGGACATGTGGGGACATGGGGGGACACGCGGGGATGCACAGGGATGCACGGGGACACAGGGGGACACGGGGGATGTGTGGGGACATGGGGGGACACACGGGGACATGTGGGGATCTGTGGGGACTTGTGGGGACATGAGGGACACTGGGGACACACAGGGACACGGGGGGACACGGGGGGACACGGGGGGACACGAGGGGACGCACGTGCTGCAGCTGTGGGCGCACGAGTGGTGAGGGCGTAAGGGTGAAGGGTCTGCGTGTGGGGGCACCCGTGGGTGCATAAGAGCCATGGGATCCACGTGTGGGACCCGTGGGATGCACGAGAGACGTGGGATGCACGGGATGCACACGCAGCACCCATAGGATGGATGCACACACAACACCCGTGGGATGCACGGGACGCCACACGCAGCACCCATGGGTGCTGGCGGAGCCCGCTGTGCTCATGGACACGCAGGGCAGCGCATGCACCGCCCCACGGATGAGCTGCACCCACGGGTGCGCAGAGCCAAAGGCTGCAGCCCGCGGCGCCCGGGTCCGCAGGCAGCAGCACCCAAGGGTGCCCGGCCCGGGAGCCTGGGGCAGCCGGCGGGGACAGGGCTGGAGGGGGGCGGGGGGGGCGCCATAAATAGCGCGGGGTCCCCGGGGCCGCGTTCCCGCCCCCCGGCCCTGTCCCGCCCGGGACTCCGTGTCCCGCGGCAGGAAGCGGCGCCCGGCCCGGGGGGGCGCGGGGGGGCCGGGCCCAGCCCAGGAAACGGGACCCGGGGGCAGGAGCCGCCCGCCCCCCCGCCCGCTTCCCACGGCGCCGCCTGGGAAAGGGGCCGCGGGGGGGGGGATGGCACGACCCCCCCCACAGACCCGTCCCCACATCCTCCCCCCCAACACGGAGCGGGGCGGGGGGGGTCAGCGCAGGGCGGAGCCGTCTGAGCCCCCGCGAACTCGTGTCACGGAGCGGGGGGGAGGGTGAGGGGTCCAAAGGGGCGGGGATCCGGAGGGGGGGGGTCCAGAGAGGACCCCCCCCATACACCCGGGGCGGGGGGGGGCAACATGGCGGGGCGGGACACGGCGCGGGGGAGGAGCCGCACGGGGCGGGGGGGGTCCCTGTGGACCCTCCGGGCGTGACCCCCACCCCCTCCCTACGTCACTGCCCCCCAGGACCCCCCTCCCCGGGGGCTCCCCTACGTCACCGCCTCCCGGGAGTCCCCGTCATCCCGGGGGGGAGGGAGGGGCGGATCCCCCTCCCTCCCGGCCCGGTGCCGCCCGCCCCGGCCCCGGTCCCTGTCCCTGTCCCTGTCCCTGTCCCGCGCGGTACCGTGCCGGGGCCGGTGCCGGGGCCGGTGCCGGGGCCGGGGCCGGGGCCGGGGCCGGGGCCGGGGCCGTCCCGGAGGCTGAGCGCCCGCAGCAGCGTCCCCACGGCGCCGCGGGGCTTCATGGCGGCGGGCCGGGAGCGGGGCCGGCAGCGGGATCCGGAGCGGATCCGGAGCGGGATCGCCGCGCTCCGCGCGCACAATAAGCCGCTTCCCGTGCGCCGAGGCCGCCGGCGCGGGGGGGGACGAGCGGGACGGGGGGAGGCACCGGCAGGGCGGGGGCCGGGCGGGGCGCGCTGAGCCCGCGCGCCGTCGTGACACCGGTGACGCCTCTGCCCCGCTCCGCGCCCTGCCTCAGTTTCCCCCCATCGCTCTGGGGCCGCGGCGGAGCCGAGGGGCCCAGGAGTCCCGGCCGCCCCCCCGCCCCCCCAGCTCGTACCTTCATGGCGGCGGGACGAGCCCCGAGCCGGGGCGGCCCCGGAGCGGGCGATGCTGCCGCTGCTTCCTCCTCCTCCTCCTCCTCCCTCCTTCCTCGCTCCCTCCCTCCCTCGCTCGGTCCCTCCCGCCGTCCCGGGCCCCCCGCGGCCCGTTAACCCCTGCGGCCCCGCGCTCTCTAGGTGCCCTGGAGCTCCGCGCCGCCCTGCCCCGGCCGGCCCGCGCGCTGTACGCGCCATACATCTCCCTCCGCTGTAGAGGACCACAGCTGGGGGCTGCGCCCGTCCCTATGGCATCCCCTGCTGGGAGCAGCCGGGACCCTGGGGAATCCTTGTCCGGGGAGGGATGGAGGGCGGGATTGAGGGATAGAGGACGGAGGGATAGGATAGAGGATGGAGGGATGGGATAGAGGACGGAGGGATAGGATAGAGGATGGAGGATGGGATAGAGGATGGAG